AGTATAGTGGAGGAGGGGGGGGGGGGCGGTGTTGTTGACAAAAAAATTAGCATAAGGTGGCTCCGCTACTGGTTTTAGCTCTAAAAGTGCATTGCTTCTTTTGATTGGTAAAAATGCATTGACACCCTTTAGCATAAGGTGGCTCCATCACTGTTTTTAGCTTTTTACTTGCATTGGTTCTTTTGGTTGGTAAAAATGAATTGGTTTTATTTGCAGCTTTTGTATATCTTTTTTCCTTCCATTGTATCATGTGAATGACTTGATTTCTTACTCATAGGTATGAAATCAAGCCGAACAATGCAATTCTCGCAGAGGACAAGCACTTGCCTATGTAAGTGGTTTCTTTTTAGGCTTTAGTGTTTTGTAATTGTAACAACTTCATTAGGTTAGCTTATACTGTGCTGAGTAAATCTGAAGAACTTCAATTTCCATAGACTTTGTAGGTGGCACAATTTCCTTTTTCTTGTAGAATTAGTTTGGAGAAATAAAATTTGTAGTTTTTTTCTAAGATTTCTTAAGTTTTAGGATGTTTGGGGGTTTCTTTTTTCCTGTTTAAGTGTCCGTCTGATGGGAATACACTTTCTATAAATTAATACTTAAATAGGTGTTATTTAATAACATTTCCAATCAGCTTTGTGAAGGGTGAGCCTACAAAAAGTTGTAATGAGCCTGTTATCATTGCTGATTTGAACTGTGGAAGAATAGTTGTATGCTTGGGGAGTGGGACACAAACTTAAGTAAGAGAGGCTACCAGCCCACGTTCTTCTGAAGCTAAGCATTGTTTTTATGCCTTTAGTCAGAAAATTGTTGAAAGAACTTTTATATACCAGGTATGATGAAATGGCAGCCAAGCCCACTGTTGAATACATTGCTGGAGGTAATTTTCCCATCACTCAATACATTGTATTGTATTAATTAATATTCTGCATTGAAGATGCTAGGATCATTGATCTCGTGGTCTTAATTCTGCAATGCAGGTGCAACACAAAACTCAATCAGAGTGGCTCAGGTGCCTTGTCGTCTTAAGTTTTTAGTGGTTCTAGGCAATCTGACATGAACATATAATTCAGAAGAATAATTTCCTTTGGCATTTGCAGTGGATGCTACAATTTCCAGGTGCCACAAGTTACATGGGCTCAGTTGGGAAGGACAAGTTTGGGGAGGAAATGAAGAAAAATGCACAGGATGCTGGCGTCAATGTAAGATTCTTTTTCCTTGATTTTCTCTTCTTAGTTTGACAATCTTTTTGTGTTTCGGTGCATTGTGGATTCATTAGCACGATTATTGCTCATGTTTGCCTTTGTCATCTATGCTTTGAACTTATAACATGACAACGAAATACTTTGACCCCAACTTGTCTTTATGTACGAATTAAAATAGGTTCATTACTATGAGGATGAGACTGCTCCAACAGGGACTTGTGCTGTTTGTGTGCTAGATGGCGAGAGGTTAGTTTAATGCAATTTTCCGTTATATGTGTAGTTGTGTACTATGGTTCTGGTGTAGAGTTTAGTCTTTCCTTCTTGTTATCCAGGGAGGGAAAGGAAGAGAAAAAGAAACACTCTACATGCTTTCTTGTTAAGGTGATGATCTATTGATTATGCAGGTCATTGGTTGCTAACTTATCAGCAGCAAACTGCTACAAGGTTGACCATTTGAAACGACCAGACAACTGGGCCTTGGGTAGGAACAGCAATTCCTGTTTCTATGTTGATAAGACCTAAGATATTCAATCTATTTTAAACTAACACAACTATTTGTGGACAGTTGAGAAGGCCAAATTTTACTATATTGCTGGATTCTTTCTCACCGTTTCTCCAGAATCTATTCAGCTTGTTGCTGAGCACGCAGCAGCCAATAACAAGGTATGCAGTTGACATTGTTTATGTGTGATTGGTCTTTTTGGTAGTTTTTGCATGAACCAATCACATTTTGTTTTGGCTTATTCACTTTCGTTGTTTTCTTTTCAAACTGCTTTGTAATGCTCTACTTGAGCCAAAGGTCTATCGGAAACAACCTCTCTACCTCCCAAGGTAGGGGTAAGGTCTGCGTACGCACTACCCTCCCAAGACCCCACTTTTGAGATTACACTGGGTATGTTGTTGTGCATAAGCCAACCATATAATATTCTATTCCACCCTGCTGCAGATCTTCTCAATGAACCTTTCAGCACCATTCATCTGCGAGTTCTTCAGGGATCCTCAAGAGAAAGCTTTGCCGTAAGGCCAATTTCCTACCTTGTCAAGGTAAATGAAGGTACACGTTACTGATAGCGGGATTGACATTTTCTGTTTTTTTCAGGTATATGGACTTTGTATTTGGAAATGAGACAGAAGCAAGAATTTTCTCAAAAGTACACGGCTGGGAGGTAATGGATGCTTTCCTTAATGTTTCCTCACATTGATGTTGACTTTATGGTACATGGCTAACATGCTTCTTTGATTACTAGACGGATAATGTTGAAGAAATAGCTTTGAAAATCTCCCAATGGCCAAAGGCATCTGGAACACACAAGAGGATTACTGTTATTACACAGGGTGCTGATCCTGTTGTTGTCGCTGAGGATGGGAAGGTGAAGCTGTTCCCTGTTATACCGTTGCCAAAAGAGAAACTTGTTGACACCAATGGTGCTGGTATGTAGTCTATTGTTGTTATACCTGTTTCCGCTTATACAGAGTTAAACCACCTCTTCTTAACTGACAAAGTCATAGTTTAGAGAACATATTCTACGTTTAGTGACTCATATTAACTGAAGAAATGAGGTGTTATCTCCTCACATACTCTTTGGTATTCTCATGTCGTCATGAGCTAGATTTTGGGGTTAGAGTCAGACTCAAGGTCTATTTTCGTTTAACATTTTCATTCTTACATTGATAGGGGATGCATTTGTTGGAGGATTCTTGTCACAATTGGTTCAAGAAAAACCTATTGCTGAGTGTGTAAGAGCAGGTTGTTATGCATCGAACGTTATCATCCAGAGGTCGGGTTGTACATACCCCGAGAAGCCAGATTTCGCATGAGTTCATTCTTAGTTCTTGGTTTTCCTGTGTTATGCCTCAATTGAGAGAAACATATCATCGAGTTCTACTGTTTTCAACTTGATCAATTCATTCCAATTTTCGGGCTATTGTTCCCAAATATCTGGTTTGTTGTAAGGAATTTTGAATGCCTTTTTTATATTATTTGAGAATAACTCTATTAGGAAGATTGAATTGTTTGTTTGTTGGTTGATTTGCTTATTGGAAAAACTACCTAACTAGAGTATCCTTCGGGGTGACCCAGTGGTTTGGGCTTGAGATTTCCATGTTGGAGGTCTCAAGTTTGAAACCCCTTGCCAGCGAAAGCAAGGGGTTTGCCTTTTGGGTCAAGCTCGTCGTGCCAGGCTTGCCTAGTGCGAGTTACCTCCCCTATGTGGTTTGCGAGTTATTGCATAGGAGTAGGGGTTTTACCCTGTGTGCACCCAAATGGTAGCGGTTGCGGATTTTCCTTGTCATAAAAAAAAAAACTATCTAACTAGACAAACTCTCTTTACATGTTTGTATGCCTAAATATCAAGAACTGATTTGTGCCAATCAATACAATATGTAAAGGTTTGTTATTTTTGTTTCGTTATTGTCATTGTATCTGGAAGTTCAATTCTTTCGTGTATTTGATATAGAGTTCATATTGCTTTAGATTTCAATTTTAAAAAGTTTTACAAATTAGGATCTACATTATCAAAATATGAACTAGTAGCTCTTTTACTATTTAAATAGAAAAGATTCTTTGAAAAATTTATGTGCATAAAAATAAAATTTCTAATATAAAAAATTATAAACTAAATACAAATGTATATAGATGACTATAAAGTGTTATAATTATCATACCAATTACTACTACTAACATTAGTACTTTTTCCTAGTTGTGATTGTCTAACTTTCATCAAAAGAAGTTCCATAAAAAATATACTAGGACTACTATTTAAAGAATCTTTAAGATTTTCTTATTTAAATTCTCTTCACATGACTTCTATAATTATGGTCCCACTAGGTTTTAACACTTGTGTTATCTTGTTGGACACAATTTTGTTTTATATTGACTTAATACATAGACATTGACATAGACCTATACAACTATTTGAACTTCTCCATATATTTTATTTAATTCAAATTATGGTTCGTTGAATTAAGTATTTGAACATATGATAAAATGTTTCTATCACATTTATTTAATATAAATTATAAACTTTTTTTTTACGTAATTTTATAAGTACATATTACATAAATAAGTAAATCATTATAAATGTGCCACATTTTTTTAATTATACATATTAGTTTTCATAAACAGTAAAATCTTAGACTTATTTCAGTTGAGATTGAATATATAATTAAAGAAGATAACATGTAGTGGACCAATCAAATTGTACCCTTTGTGGTTTATATAAGTAGAAAAAAGAGTTGTATGATCTTTTTATTGTGAATATAATTTAATTACTTAATGGATGTTTGAGTTTGCGCATAATTTTTCTCTTTCCATAATTTGTGTTAAAAGTGTTTGATACAAATATTTATCATATGTGTCAGTTGCTCAATTATAATAATTCATAATTTGAAATTTAAATAAAATTTACTAACAAATTTTAAAACATATTGTATTTTGAAAAAGGTTTATATGCATGTTATGAGAATTTTAATCACATAATGTCTCTTAATAATACACATTACATTAATTGACACATATATGTAATTTTACGAATTATTGAGGCGTATGATCAAAGAAAATGAGGTATTATTCGTTATTTTAACAACAAATTTATTTACGTAATAAATACTTAAGAATACACACATAAATTCTTGAGTCTAAAGAACATTTTATCATGGTTCCAATGGTCAATCGAAATATCTTATAATTTTAATATCAAAATAAAATTTACTAACAAATTTAAAAACAGGTCGAGGTCGTATTCTATTAGATGATGAGCTGCTTTTCCTTACTCTTTCGATTAGTTAATTTCACTTCGACACCCAAATGTTGTTAAATTTATCAATATCACCCCAATCAAACTACAATTAACCTCCGCCGGAATCTCTCAAAATCAACCACCATGGACCACCGTCAACCACCACAACCTCCGCCGCCGGCGCCGCCGGTAGCAATCAATCACCAAACAACCACCCAAATCCTCAAACAAACCACGAAAACCTTCATCTCCAATCTCCTCCTATTCCTCTTCCTTTCTTCTCTCATTCTCACTTTCCGTTCCAATGTCGAAAATGGTACCAACTACCTCACTTCCTTCATCGATCGTGACCCTTCTCTGAAATCCATTCTATCTCGTATTGACCTCTCCGGTCAACAGCTGCAGCATCCTCAGCTCCGACGTGACCACCATCGCCGCCGTCGACCTTTTCTTCACCTATCCCGTGTAGGTACTCTTGATGATGATTTCTTTTCTGGGGATTCGGACCTTGATAAATCCCTATTTCATCCTTCTTCTAAACCTCAGCCGAATTCTACTTACGTAATTCTTTCCAATTTTGACCCGAATTTAGGGTTCTCAGACCAAATTATTGATGATGGGATTTTGTTTCCTCAAGCAATTCGTAATGGGTTTATCTCTTTCAAGTCTCCTTCAGAGACACAGAATTTGTCTCAGGTTGATAATCCTGAAAATGAGTATAACAATGAAAATGGTGTTGTTGATTTGCAGTTTTTGATAAAAGGTCTTGAATTGGGTCGTGGTGATGCTACAGCATTGTTATTTCTTGTTAGTTTGTTGTCAGCTGCCTATGCTTATGTGGTGTTGGCTTTTTTGGTTACTTACACTTGGATTCATGGGATAATTTTCTTGCAAGTGTTGGATAATGTGTTAGGGAATTACAGGTCAATTTTCAGGACTGCTTGGGAAGGTTCTAATTTGGGGTTAAGAAGGCTTTCTGGGTTTGTTTTGATGAGGTGGGCAGTAAAGGATGCATTAGCTCAATTGTTGGGTATTTGGGTTTTTGGAGAAATTGAGGATCAATATTCATTTTTTAAGGTTTTTGTGAGGATGAAATTGATGCCCTTTTCGGATGTGGCGCCATGGGTTACAGGGCATGAGAAGGAAAGCTTGTGCTTTATCATCTCATGGTTCTTGGTGGAGTTGGTAGTGGGGTTTATTTTTGCTGTTGATTCTTGGGTTTCTATTGTGGACTCAAGGAAAAGTGGTAGGGAGGTTGTCAAAGAAGGATGTCATTTGTTGGGTATTATGGTGTGTCCTGCTATAGGAATCAAATGTTGGGAAGTTTTGGTTTGTGGGTGGTGTACGAGATGGATATTGGGTCGAATATTTGGAGAAGTGTTTGCACTGGCATTTCAGTGTGTTATGGAAGTTTATTTTATGGTAGTTTGGTTAACATTTTACTTGGCTGCAAGGTATAATGATGCCTCCTCAGTTGGGAGGACATTTGGACGAAGAGAATTGGAAGGCTTTCTCGAGGGCGTTAGATGATACTAGGTGGGAAGTGCTAAAGATTCATTCCCCTGCCTTGGCATTACGTTGAAAGAAGCTTTAACTGGATGAACTATCGCGCTGGTGGGGTAATCTTTTGTGCTTTTGATGTTCAATGCTTTGAAATGTGAGTCAGCACGACACTGTTTAAGAAGTCGCCAGCTATGCTTTGTATGTACTCTGTTGAGGCAATATATGACTTGTATATTTCATGGGGATTCTTGTTGGCTATTCCATATCCATTTCGGAGTATATGCTTCACCATACAAGTCTTTCATGGTGATGAAACCTGAAAACTAGTTGTAATTGTTGTATTTTTCCTTTTACCATTAAGGGTAAGAGATTAAGTGAGCCCTCCTCTTTTTTCTTTTGATCACGTTTCTGTTGTAGATTCTGATGTTTCTAAGTAAGTTGATTTGTATAATGATAAATGGTCATCTTGAACTAAACCTTTCCACTCCCCTACACAAAAAAAATCAAACTAAACTTCAAATTGGTGGGTTTGAACTTTCTTTTGATTAATGTTTGAACGTGGGACATTTGTTGCTTAAAGTATTTACGGATTTGAAGTGATTCTTTACCTTGTAATTATTGAAGAACTTAATAATTGAAGAATTAGTGCTTAGATGATTGAGTAAATGCTAAAGAAAATTTCATGTTTGCTCGAGAAGAACTGATATTGTTCCTTTTTCATTTTCTGGCTAGCTAGTTCCACTTTTTTTTTTTTTCTCAGCCCCTTGCTTGCTTAGTTACCGAAAACAACAACGCTTGGCCTCTTTAAAGGACAATAAAGTGTCAACAAACTGAAATTGGATATTAACACTTTTATCTCTTAAAAAACTAGGTAGTTCTGGTAATTCACGTATCAAAGTTTGTATTCCATCGTACATATAGTCTTTAGAGTCAGGTAAAGAGTCAGATTTCTGGTAGGATGTATTGTGTGGGGACTCATCTCTGACAGAGTAGTTTCCTGACTTGCACCATATTACGATGATCAATAAATAAGGAGGTCACAGTAGCTGAGCTTCTTAGAAGAGATGGGTGCTTAGTGTTCAATGTAGGGAAACAGGTGGCTGGAATGTGGTGCTCAGAAAGAATATAAATGACTGGGAAATGGTAAGGATGTCAGAAATTTTGAATTTGGAGACATTTTAAGGTGTATCAGATGATGAAAGTGGCAAGGTAACCTGGAGAGCAAAAAAGCAAAGGTATTTTCACTGTCAAAATTGCTACAACTTATTACTAATAGAAGGGACTGATCAGATCCCTCTTGGTCTTGGAGACAGATGTGGAAAAACAATGATCCTCAAAAAGTATTATGCTTTTCTTGGCTGGTTGCTCAAGAACGGTAAGGCATGCTTATTCTCACCCATGAGTTCTATATTGAAGGACATACAATAAATATTGTGCTTGATTATAATTTTTTCAATTCTTTATTCATAATTGTTGTTCGTGTTTGTAGTTATTATTCTTGATTTACATATGCACTTCTATTTTCTTTTTCATGTGAGCCTTTCTTCATCAAATATTTGTCAGGGTTCTGCAGTTAAAGCCCCTGCATATCTTAATGTGTTACCCAACATATTTTAGCGTCTTTACTCGACTTTTGCTTTTGGTAACATTGTACTCTGACAAGCTTGCATGGCAGCCAATGGTGGGATTCTTAGAAAGGATTCATCGCAGCTCTTGAAGCCTTTTTAATCTACTTTGCTGGGCAGTGAGCTCTCGAAGCTGCTGAAAGCCTGAAAGAGGGAAACTGTTGTGGTAGTCATCGTGGCTTTTCAAAGATCCTATAGCTTTTTCCGTAAGCATGGTTCACCGAACAATTGTTTGAGACTGGTAACATTGTATAACCATCTTATCTGAATTTTAAGTTATAAGAGATTGCATGCCTTTTATTTGCTTAATTATATCTTTGAAATAGAAAAGAGAAGTGTTGTAGAGAGGATTGTCTATGAAGATGTTCTCGATGAAGTCATATAATGATTACTTGATCATGGTCAGTGACTTCAGGCCATGTGGAGGTCCCTGTGGAAGATGGAGGCAGCTAATAAAGCTGGATTTTTTCACGCAGTGTGCAACTTGGAGTGTTATTATAAAGACGATCACCTTGAGAAGTAGAAGACCTATAGTAGTTAGTTAGAGTTATTATCCAAGGAAAATGGTCAGAACATGGACCATATACTGGTTCCATTGCAGCTTCTCCATCAGCAATGGAGGCACTCTAAGTTCATTATGGCCTAGGTGCTAGGCAAATGGAGTTGTGGACACGTCGCTCCTCCGTGCAATTGTTAGATGATTTGGATTAAATGAATATTGTAGAAGATGTATTGGGGTCAAGCATCCAATACAGATAATCAAAAGCTCATTTATTGTGGAAGTCCCCAGGGCTTTGGTCTAGTGGTAAGAGCGTTACTTGTGATGTGTGGGTTAGGCACACGTCAGGGGTATGAACTTGCTGCAGACAAAAGGCTGGTATTTAAGTGGAGAGAAGGGTAGAGGGGCGGACCCATTATCCACCGAGTTTCCAACCTTGCACCACTGGTTCTTGGGGATTTATCAATCATCCTAGACAAGCTCATTTGTTGTGGAAGGGATTCCCCATATATTGTATAGATAGATGGATGGTTCTTTTTGGAGCTTTGATGTAAACCCACAATATGTTGTGACATCCACTTGGTGTATCATCAATGAAGTTATTTTGACTTGTTAAAAAGAAACTCCCGCATCTAGTTGAATGTAAGTGGGTCAGCATTTGGAAGATTTCCTGTATTGTAACACAGTACCTTGAAATGAACATACCCTCAAATGTCATTGGAATTTCAAGTATTCTTTGCGTACTTTTCCTATTGTTCCATTGCCACATTCTTGTGATAATTTGAGATAAACTGAGGAATAGAATGATATTTAAGAGATAAAGAAGTTGATGTTTGAGAAAGTATGTAGCTGTTTGAGAAATATCTAGTTTGCACCCAAGGGTGTGATATAGTGGTCAATGAAGTGGAAGAGAACCACGAGTCTCAGGTAACAGTTTCGAGGTGCACGTCAGTTGGCTCTGCGCCACCACCATTTTTTTGAGAATGGTAACTTTTCATTTAAACACAAAAAGGTGCTGATGGGTGTAAAAACAAGATACAAACTCCAAACGAGTGCGCAAAAAACATAAGCATCCCCCCCTGACTAAACAAAAACCTACAGGGATGCTATGACATCAAGAAAAAGAAAAGACAATATACAATTTAATTTGATTCTCTGTGTAGCGTTCTTTGTATCCTCAAAATACCTAGAATTCTTTTCTTCCCAAACTGTCCCTCAAATGCATGCAGAGATGACTTTTACCAGTTCTTTTGCGTAACACCTTCAGTTAGGCCATTCCAGCATCTCAGGAGATCCATTGTCTTCAGTTACCACCATAAAAAGCTAGTTTTTGAGTATTTCATTAATAATTCTAGTTCTATTGATGGAGTCACTTCTGTCGCGGTTATATTTCCTACTCTAATACTTCAGATTTTGTTCACTCAGTACTATGATACATCATACCCTATAGCTTTTGGCATCAGAAATGTTGAGGTTTTTATATCCTTGCCACAATTGTGGCTTTGCGTGAAGTATAATTGCATAGAACATTATCTGTAGAAAACTTTTATGAAGGAATCAATTGTTGAATAATTTTCTGGTGCTTTTCGATCGTAATGGCAGTGGCAGGTTGTAGTAGTCAAATGAAGGGATGGGGATGTAAGGACTGGTCTTCAGTATATCATCACAGCGTATGTGACAGAGATTAAAAAAGTACATTTACATATGGTTAGGAGCAAATGCCAGAAATTGTACAAATGACAGGGTTTAGACTGTTGTGCCATGTATATATGAATACAAGATAAGCGGGCACATGCAAAATTTAATATTTGGATGTCTGCTTTATGAGATCATCAAATTACTGAACAAGTTCTGTTTTTGATGAATATATGATACTTGTTAAGTTTTCCTCATCTAAGTTCCGAGGCAATTAGTAACTTCAGTACTTCGACAGCATGTAGTTTCTTTGAGTTCATTCCATTAAGAAGTTCCTACATGCAGAATGCTCTTGCTTCAAATGGATATTTGGTTATTTAGAAGGCTGAGATCTGAATTTGTCGCGCTCATCTATTTTGAAAGGTAAATGTAGGGATCAAACTGATGTTACCTAGATGATGAATTTCTTATTCATTGGTAACCACTTCTGATCCCTTTAATGAAGTCGGTTAACTTGCAACCATGTAAGCTGATTTAGTTTTCTAGAGCTTCTCCGTTGAGTTTTTTTTTTTTTTTTCTATTGGTCGTGTTGACAGTGTCTCTCTCCTTTTCAGGGGCCAAACGTTATCTATAAAGTCCTCAGGATGAAGAAATTAAACAGTTTTCTTTGCTCAATATTCTTTTGTGCAGCTGGATCTCCAGACAGTAAAGGAATAGCTAAGCATTCATTGAACTGCTCAGTAGTTCAAAATTTGTCTTGGAAACTGTTGATGAACAGCTTCAATAGTTGGGCTAATGCTCAATTTCTGAATGTCGATTTTCCCGACTACTTTTTCGTAATACTCTTAAGCAGTTGTATATTTGATTTATATGATAGAAGTTGGTGTGTGGGTAAGTGGGTGGATTTCATATATTGTGCATCTCTATTCTGTAACCTAGAATGAGTTTGTGATTCGCAGATTTGCTCGAGCTTGTTAGGTGGAACGTAATGTTTGATTTGCTTGTTTTCATTTGTATCACATCGGATGAAGGAGTTGAATATTTCTTTTATCCTGATACCTTTTGTTTGTTGATATTGGTGAATGGAATTTATCAGTTTGTGGGAAGACTAATTTTTAGGATTGTATTTCCCCCAATTTGCTGGTTTTAAAGTGTAGTTGACTTAAATAAAATTTGCACTCTGTAGGAAGTTATAGTTCTGGGGGTGCTTGAATACTGTTGTGTAGAATTCAACTGAAGTGATTTCTCTCTTTAGTGCCCTTTCCTTGCTTTTGAACTCGATTATTCTGTGGTCTCGGTGGTTGGATTGTTAGTTTACTTGTCTACATCTAGCAATCTTTTTCACTACACAAATAAGCTCATTGTTCTTGCTCAGTTAGGTCAGTGAAACAGGGTATGTTATTTTTTTCAACTTTCTCCCGCATATCCTTTTCTTCATCCTGTCTCTTCTTCATAGATGTATCTTCCTTTTCTCATCCGTTCCTTTCTTGATAGTTGCACCATCAAATTGGTTTCAATAGAAAGAATTGATCTTAGAATGACAACATTTTACAAGACCTTCAAGGTATGACTCAGCCAGCTAAGTGACATGTTTGGTGAGGAAGCACCTAAATCAGCAGCAAGTTAAGAATTAAAATTAATATTAGAAGAAAAAAGGAAGAAGCTACAGGTCACCAATCTGATCAACTTCACTCTATGAAACTTCTGGTAGTCTTGAAGATGGTGTGCTTCCTGAAATACCATGGTGTTGGTCTATGGTGCTCGGATTCTTTCAAAATTATGCCGCACCCATCTCGGGTTCTTCAAAAATACAATAGTTTTGGAGAACCCGACACGCACCAGTCGACATGTTTGAAGAGTCCGAGCAACATAGGTGTTGGTTACAAAGACCAGTGGGATAGAATAGAATTCAATACCAGTTCATGATGCATCTCTAAAGCTTGGTTGCCCCACCCCTATCCTGATTATCACTTTCTTACCAACTGTTATTTCATCAAATTACCACATCTTATGTATCTTCTATGTTTGTGACATCCTTCTTGGTTTCTATGCATGATTATATCTGTTATGGCTCGTCTCTCTGATCTACTGCTTCAGAATATCTTCATGCTCAAGGTTCATAGGTTGCCCAAACTTGTTCTGTATCTCTAGTGTTAACCTCTTACTCATCTTTCAGGGATTATCCAACCATATTGTCAACTTCACTAAGGTCCTTGTTCTTGGTATTTATCTTTGTTTCAACACTTCAGAAGGAGGTAATGTACTTTCAAATTTACAGAGTGTGCTATTTTGACTACTTGTGCCTCCACCCTAAGTTCTGAATGGATGTTTTTTTGTGGATTGCCTTCTGGCAGGCACTGCCTGTTTTATCCAATGGCTTAGTCTACTTTGTTGAGCTGAGTTTTTTCCCCTTCATTCATATGATTGTGGATAGTTTTGGCAGTAATCTTCCATTCATACATGCATATAACAAAAGTTTGCATCCACCATTCACTTAATCAGTAATTTCAACTATAGGATCAAGCGACATGCAACTTAGAGCATGTCTCTTTCATTTGTTAATAGCTTCTTGTATATTTCCTTCTTCAGAATTTTGAATCAGTGTAAACGCGTAGGATGTAGGCACCACAGTTCATTTAACTATTTAAGCTCCTTCTCCTGAAGGTATTTGTTAGAGCAATGTGACCAGTGACCATCTCATCTAAAAGCTTAAATTGTTAGATAGAGCACACTTCTATTTATTTAATTATGTTTTCAGCATTTAAATGTGGAAAGGTCCTGCAAAAGCTGGTCTTCCACAATTTGCCTTGAGTATTTGCAACTGCAGTAACTTGTTTCACTCTTTTGGTATTTTTCATGCTTTCACCCATAGGTTTGTATCTTATTCATTTGTTTTTGTGGAATCTAGTTATTCATTTATAGGGATTTGGGAAATGGATGATTTTGTTTGATGGTTCTTTATTTTTTGCTCAGTATTGATTAATTGAATTTAGCTCATCATGTTACATTTGGACTTGTTTATATTTGAACTCCTTTAGGTAAAAAAAAATGTCATCTTGCATTTCATTTTCTTGCTAATCTCATCCACCTTCTGTTGGATTATGCAAGTTGTCTTATTTTTTGAAGCTTCACTAGTATGTAGGCTGTGTAGCACCCTAACCTAGCCCCTTCATTCCCAATACAAGTTAGAGCCTCTTAAAAGACGGGATCTTTACACAAATAGCCGACCGGATTCACTGATTACATTTTCTAGACAGTATAAATAGATTATACACAATTATTCACATATTATATACTCCCTCCGTCCCATTTTATGTGGCACTTTTCGGATTTCGAGATTCAAACAAGTCTATCTTTGACCGTAAGTTTTTCATAGATCTTTTAAACATTTTGAATTATCAATTATTGTGACTTATAATACTTTTTACGTAGTTTACAAATATATAAATTTCATTTAAATTTTTTTGAAGATTCCGTGCGCGAATTCCCGGTCAAACGTAAACTGTTTGACTCTCGAAAAACAAAAAGTGCCACATAAATTGGGACAAAGAGTCTCCCTCTCTCTCTCTCTCTATATATATATTATACATATATTTGTATCTCTATTGGCAATTTTTAGTTCAAGTGGTTGGGTGTGCGGTTATTTAGATTACAACAACATACGCATGTAATACCACAAGTGGGGTCTAGGTAGGGTGGTGTGTATGTAGACCTTACCCCCCTACCTCGTGAAGACAGGGAGGTTGTTTCCGAAAGACACTTGGTTATTTAGGTTAATTCTTCAATATATCGAGTAGAGTATTTATAGATTATAATGATTTGGATTTTAAAATAGTTGAATTTGTTGAAAAGATGTCACATCAAGTTGGTATTTGGAAATAATAATAGTTTGAACTGTTGGAGGGAAAAAATATATTTCCATAAATATATCAAACTTTTCATGAAGCACTTAATGGGGAAGTAGGTATAACTAGATGGTGTGGAGAATATAATAATGAATGTAAAGCCATTCTTAGTTTCTGGAATAGTTTCTGATTTGGTCCTATAGAACTCTTCTAGTATATATTTTTCCTGGAAAAGTAATAAAGGGGGGAATTGGATGAGTGATAAAGAAACATTCTGCCAGTTCACTTTTGAAGTTGGTGAAAACTTTTTCCCATACAAGTTCTTTCTATATCTTTTGGTTCCATTTACACAACTTTACCCTCTTTACTTTAGTGTGTCGTGATAAATAGCCGCTTACGTTACTTGCCCTAATATACTTTAGTGCATTATTGATTGCAAGTTGATTGCTAAGAGTAAAGCCAAAATCTTTAGTTAGATGTAGGTCTGTCATTAGAAAAGGAACATTCAACTTTCAACTCTACTTACGACCAGAACAGATGATTGATTAGTTCTCTTTTCAAAAATCTTCATTTTCATTTGAAATGGATTGCTTTGGGTGCTTACTCTTGCAGCTAAAATAAATAAATAAAGGTGTCCTGTGTCTAAAATTGTTCACACAATTCAGCATGTTTCAATATGTGTTAGTGTTGATGTAAGTTTTGGTTTGTAAACCAACAAAACTTTTCACGTGTTTGGCCTAATAACAAAGCTTTGGTTCTTATGCATTGCAGAATAGCTCGACAATGTTGGGAATTTTTCTTCAGTATTTGCGGGATCTCTTGGATCATGCCCCAAATTGTGAAGGAAATATTGGAGAGTTGGCAGCGCAGAGAACGCATAAAGTTTTGAAGCAAATTTGGATCACAGACCTTTGTGCATTTTCGAACTATTTGGCTAGAAAGAAATAACGCTTGTTTTGATGGGCAAAAAGACCATATTTCTAGAGTTAAAAACAATTGTTTACATGATTTGTTTTCTTGATGTAAAAGTAGTTTCATTGATAATATAGATCAATATATGGAGCTATTGGAGTTGCTAAGGAGATGTTGTAATTGACTGTATGGATATTCCCAGCAGTGTTTTGTAACTTTTGGTTTTGCTACCTTCTTGGTACTTGGTCAATAAACCTTTACCTTATCAAAAAAGATCATGTCTGCATGTACGATGCTGTGTTTCACACTTCAAAAAAAAATTAATAGATGTGTCCAATTTCTAGTGATTTAAGCTTGTAGATTTGCAGGTTTACATGATTCAACATCTACTCTTTTATTTGGTTAACACAATGTAGGAAGAAAGGGTCTTATCGCGGCACTGTCAAAGGTCTTGGATCTGGTACAACATTGAAGACTGTTTAACCTCCTCTATCTTGGAGGTACTCCTTGCAACATTATTGTCCTGTTGATTAATATCTCTGTGGAGCCGTTGGGCTGTATGTCTGATGCTTTATTCAACTTTCGGCTGTATTACTTGTTTTTTTCTGTTGCCCTTTTTCAAATGGATGGATGCTTCCTCTCTTGCCATAAATGTTTATGCCTGTTTTCTCTACCTGGAACTCTGATAAAGTAATACATCTTGAGTTGCTTTACAAATCTGTGTTCTGAGAATGTGACAGCTCGACGTACATTTTGGTCTACTAACTTCAGTGCAGTTTATCTCAATGCCAAATTGTTGGTTGTCAGTGCTCGACTGATTTGGGATGTGGCGTATAAAGGCTTTGTGCCTTCAATTTAGCTTCTTGCTCTGCAGATTGTTATTAGATACTTGTAGTTGTTGCAATCTATTAAATGATAAAATAAAATGAATTGTGATTTCTTGCATAAAGAAGTAATGCTCAACTTCGTAGGTAATGGTAATGAATTTATATTCAATAGTATACAACAGGTTATGAATTTATAGATGTCAACATTCTAAACAATGAGTTAAGCATCATAGATGAATTACAATCACATGTTGGACCTTCAAAAGCAGATTGAGATACGTCGACTTTCTGGTAATGTAGCACATCTAATGACACTATTGAAGATGTTCTCATCACAGGGGATCCATAATTTCGAATCAGCAGTGAATTCATAAACTTCTTGAGCTTGATCCAGCAATGCCTTGAAGAGTGGATGCTTTAGCAAGGTAATTTTGATTACAAATCTCTTTTGGTACTTTCCTACATAAACTACCACATGACCTTTCGGAACATCCCTTGGGATAGACTTCTCTTCTTTTTCAAAAGGCCACATAGTCCATTTGTCGCAGCAAGCTGATGAAGGTATGACTTTGCCACCCATCTTTTCCCATTTATTTTGGCATGCCTTGAGAAACTTACTGTCCATCATTTTCATATGCAGGAATTGGACCACTATGATAAAAACTGAAGGGAGAAGAGAGAGTACAGTGGTGTTGTCTGAGAGACTGAGACAGGTATATATATATATATATATATATATATAATAGTTTGGGAAGTTCCAATATTTTATTAAACAGTAAATGCTGGCAACTGGCAAACTATAAGTGTGACTAATGCGTGTGCATAGCTGTTTCTTTCTTTAATGATAATTCATCCTTATACGATCATGTACGAACATACATTGCATAATTTAGAAGTCAATATACATGTACAGATTGTGCCACAAAAATCTGTATTATCACTCTCTCTTTCTTTGTTATGTCCCAGGGTGGGGAGTGATGCCAGATAAATAATCGGTTGAACTCTTGAATATTTAGACCCCACAATGGTGAATTGAGTAGATAAGATAGGAAAGATGAATTGGGATTAAGCTTCTTGGACACAGTGCTATGGCCATTTCCCACTTGTTCTTCTTGTCCATCTTATTAGATAACAAATAAGTTGTGGATATTTGAATCATGTTTCTGTTAAACTTTGAATGATCAAGAAATCAGGAAGAAATGGGGTTAATAGTCAGGGGTGAAGCTACGTATGTCGAAGGGCAGTTAGTTGAACACTCTTTGATGAAAAATATACTACGCATATAGGTCAAATGTTACTTTTGAAAGTATTCTTGAACACCCTTATTGAAATTTTCAACTTCATCGCCGTATAATAGTGGCTTATGACAATGATGAACTTCATTTGTGGTGTATATCATTCAATTAGCAATAATTTGTTCATTAATTTGTGTGTTATATATAGAAGTATAGAAAAGAATAAACCAAAGTTCCATTTCTTTATGAAGATGCACTTTTTCTTTTTGTTTTGCTCAAATTATCATCTTGAAAAGAGAGCACTGCCGTACAGAGGTAATCCTTATGTAGCCACATAACTTTCTCTGACATTAAATATTCCAAATTTAATGTATTGCATGTATAGACTATAGTATTTTGAGGAACTTTTGTATCTGATGGAACAAACTTAAAGTGGAGAAATATAAAAATACTGAACATTTGCAGGTTGCAGTATATTTGCAGTGATTTCGAGGCAGTTTCACAAGGGATGTATCTGCTTGTTCTAACTTCCTTTATTCTATAGTCTTTTGTTTGCCAACTGACAATATAAAGAATTTTTACATTATCAAGTTATAATAAGCTTATATGTCCCGGACCACACTTGCAATAACAACGACATACTTAGTCATGTGAGTTGTTATTAACAGACCCTCGACCTAAGAGACCCTTTTTCGCATAGTTAGGTGGTTATTTGCTTCTCAACCTTGACAAAGTTTGAGGTGTGAGAGTCAGAGAAAACCCATCTCCAATGATTTTTGGTGTTTGTTCATAAATTTTGATGTGATATAGTTGCAGTAGCCAGAGTGGATTCATCCTCTAAAGACAAGTAAGTACATTGTGCATCTCAAAGTGTGGAGACGTGAACGTTGACAACACAAGAAGAAGAGATATTCACTTGCAAATTAATCAATCATTTGTAAAATGAATATCCAATCATGAAATGGACCTCTTATAAATCATTAATGATCTCAAACAATTTGGGATAAAAAGAATATATATTGAAAATTATTTTTAAGTATAAGAAAAGGAACATTTTCTATAAGATAAATTGAAAAGAAAAGTATTTTATATATATTGGAACAAAGAAAGTAATATCATCACTCCTAGCTAAGTGTCTAATAAAGTTAGACAAAAATCACAAGAGATTATAATTGAAGTGTCAACAAGTCAAGAAATGCAATGTAATTTCTTATCATTTACCTAATTTTGATAAATAAAATTATCTTATATAGATATTGCTAAGAAATTAATATAAAATTGAGGTCCATATAAACTAACTTAAACAAGAAGAAGAAAAATAAAGGACAAGGAGAAGAGGGATCTTTACACAAAAAATTATTAAAAGGTAAAAGAATATTTGGTCACATATTATTAAAAATATATGATCATATACTTTTTTCATATATATTATAATAGCATCATATGTGCCTTGCTACCTACAGGCATGGATATTTTGGAACATACCACAACAATATGGTGTCTTAATCAAGGAAACCTATGGTGGTTATATATTCAGGAAGTTTCCAAGCAAGGGCACTAGAAATAAAAAGTCAAAATCTAAGTTTAATTAATTATATTATTTTTTAGAGAAAAAAATTGTTATTAAATATTTATTAATATTCCTTGAATAAGTTTTTAATAATAATTAAGCAAAAGACACCTATATAAAGGAGGATTGAATATACACCTTGAGAATCTAGTATGGCCACCACACCCACTACTTACAATTAGTTTTTTTTTTTTGGAAATTATTTATTTATACTAAGTCAATATTCATTATCAAGAAAAATAAATTTTGCAGTATATCGCACAAGTTAACTTGAATCCTGAATTTGCTTCAAGATTTTCTTTAGCACTAAGTGATATTGGATTGCGTTTTTATATAATCAATCAAAATTCATGAAGGAAAAAGAAAAAAAAGCTATAAAACAAAAATAAAAGAGTAGCCTATACAAGGAACACAAGACTATCGATCGATGTGGTGTGATAAATAAACTTCATTTATTCTTGATAAAAAAATGTCGAGATTAACTCTTAAAAACGAACAAACTTCTAATAAAAAGAGATTCCTATTGTATGACATTAATCAACACTGTGAATTTCAAATACCAGGATATGGTGGGGTAGGGGGTGGGGTTGAAGCATTGATGAAAGAGTAATGAAGAGCACATGAAAAATTGGGCCTACCACCGAAACCCACGGGGTAGAGGGAGCAAACAAGCATGTTGGGCAATACTTCATCGTTATATGATAATGCGATTTTTACGGAAGTCAGTATATTCGTTCATCAAAATAATAATCGATAAATATATATATTTTTACAAGTTATATAGTTATTTTTAATCGATCGGCTAAATATTTATTATAAAATTCAAAACAATGCCCACCGGCCAATTCAGAGAGATTGCAATTTAATTTCGAACAATGATTTGATTGGACTCGTGCACTTCTATTCCACGTGTAATTTTTTAACTACAAAATAATTCACCAAAAATTACCACATGATTTAAGTTATTTATATATTTTTTTAATAGATATAAAAAATTAAAATTATTGAATTTGATTGAACTCGTAACTTATAATGATATGGTTTTAATTAATGTCTTTATAAGCCGTGATGAATTTCACACACAAAATTATAGCTATATTGCGATGTTTTATTAACTGTATTAAATCAATATTTCGAGAACGCACTATCGCTCCCTCAACTCTCTTATTAAAATAGCAACTTTGCTAATGTTGTAATTAATTGAAGCATGATCTTAATCTAAATTTAGTTAGTATTATAATTAATTTCTAGATTAAAAACAAGTAACTCCATTAGCACATCTTCGTTGAATCTTTCTTGTCGAGGAAAATCGAGTATTTCTCCTTTTTAATATTTTTATTTTTATTTTTTTTGTGATTCAAATATTTTAATATTATTTGTTTTATTATGACAAATGAGTCACTTTCTTTTTCTTCTTTTGTAATTTTTTCTATGATTTTTTATCGTTCTTGTTATCTAAAATCTTTTATTTAAACAATAGAAGAAAACTCAGCTTAACATGTTCCATGTTAATTTAAGATATAATTTGAGACGAT